CATAGATTGTATATAAAGATGGACAACATGAAAGCTCCCCAAAAAGGAAGCCAAAGCATCTCAATCACCACCTGATGGCTGGCTGCAGTATAGGTCGTAAATCCCACCCACTCCATGTTGATGGATGGGAGACGGGCCAAACTAAAAGCTAAATATCACGTCAACTATATTTTTCTCAAAGGTGTTTCCTGTCATTTTAAGTCGGGATGCACATGTCTCAAAATGCTCAAAATGACTCAAATGCTGTCAAACTGTTTTAAAGCAGCAGCTGCCTTCCGCATCTACTGTCTTTATTCATCAATCCTTGGGAATCAGGACAAGAGATATGTCCATATTTGAACTTAAACCACAAAACACATTATTGAATGTCGTCAAATCTGGTCAGTTAAGTTCCAAGCTGTGCAGCACAGAAGCTGTAGAGTGGGGAGATCACAGACGCTACGGCAGCCATAAATCTGAAATAACTTGAGCAAGCAAAAGTTTAGATTAGCAGCTAAGAATTTCATCCCAGAAGCAGCTTCTGAAACACTTCTCTAGTGAAACAGAGGGATTTAAACCTTTCAGAGGAGCCCGGACATACAGGCAACCAGAGGTCTGAGAACTGTACTCATCAACTTAAGCCGTTTTTGGCAACCTCAATGGTTTCAAAGGTTAGGAGTTATTGCGTACTGCTATCTCCTTCAATGATTCTCGGAAGTTTATGTGCCAGTTTCTATCAGGCCAAAAGTTTGATTTTTGATCTTTTAACCTCTCCCTTAACATTTGATCTCACTGAATTCCTCTTACATTCAAATGCTTCTGAGAAAGATAATACGTTCATATCATATTTTTTATTTCTACCATAATGGGTTTGTGAATCCTGAAACATTGGGTATTATTCTAGCTCTCAAGGCGGATCATCTTGTGCCTTTATCTTTACCAATCTGAAATAAATGTCACATTCTGAGGACAAGTGTGAATTCATTAGTGTTGCTTGACTGGTGCAAAATTCCTCCTCAGAAGTAAGTCTGTGGTCATCATAACAATCTAAAGGAACAGCCAAATGTAGGGGGATGAATACCAACTGAAGAGCAGTAGAGCGATCTCAGTAGATGTTGGTGTTAGGCTATAATCAGGTTTTTGTACATGAAACTACAGCAAACCTTCCCCTTTATATATAATTAACTTTGACAACGCATATCATTTATACATTTCATCACATGTAACCACATATCTCTTTCATCTTCTCTTAGATCCCTCAAGTGAGCTACGCCTCCACGGCTCCAGAACTGAGTGACAACACCCGCTATGACTTCTTCTCCCGGGTGGTTCCCCCAGACACCTACCAGGCCCAGGCCATGGTGGACATTGTCAAGGCCATGCGCTGGAACTATGTCTCCACTGTGGCTTCAGAAGGAAACTATGGAGAAAGTGGCGTTGATGCGTTCATTCAAAAGTCTCGAGAGGACGGTAAGTCTTTCTTCCGACATTTCTTCAGGCATCTGTGTTTGTTCAGACGGATGTGAAAGTGTTTTTCACAATGTGAATCTCATTCTGTGAACTGAAAAATACACCCAAAGTGTTTCCCTGTGAGTGGACAAGGAATTTGGTGTCTTGAAGGTAGAGCAAGCTATTATAATCCAATACACTTACCGTCAAATTCAGTGAGTATCTCCTCACGGTCCGCTAGCTGTCCCTTCTGTGTGTGTGCTAAAAAAAACAAAACAGCCCTGACTCTGTAAAAGGGAGGTAAACAAATTGGCCTGCATCGAGGCAGACAACACTACGACGGCAACATGAAGGATTATAAAAAAGAGAAGGGGGGGCTGGGGGAACGGAAGGCAGACACTGTAAATCTGTCACATGCCAACAGATGTGCTAATTTAATGATTAACAGGGGAAGCAACCTCCAGCAATGTATACCAGTGGGACAGGGATGGCAGCGTATACTACACAACATATACGCAGTGGCATGAGGGAGGAATGGCCGAAGAAAAGCCAAAGAGAAGATGGTCAGAAGATTTTGTATCAAAAGAAATGCTATGATCAGGCAACGGACATTTGCCATACTTTCTATTATTATTTGTATCTCCTCAGAAGTTTTGTGGGTATTATGTTAGCTATAGTGGCAGGTAAGTTGAGTATTCCTGTATTGAGCTAATGTGCTCGCTATGGGAAAGTAGTTTTTTATTCTCAGCATTCGCTTTGCAGCAGCAGCTGCAGTTGCAGTTTGTGGTTTTGTTGTTTGCTCTATATCATGGTATTTGTCCATACAACATGTAGACGTGGAGAGGGTCTTGTGTCACAATGACATAATAACCTGAGTTTGCACAGTAGATTTGGTTGTATGCACTGTCCTCTACTCTATCGCAGTAGCTTTGTAAAATCATTCTAAACAACCAACCTTTCCTAGTTTTTAGTCCACCATGTTGGTTCGCACATTGTTTCTTTGATGACATTTAATATAACAATGTTTGCTTTGCTTCATATTTAAGAGAATATCTACCTACAAGCTGTTCAAGTGCGGTCCATGTATTTGGGGTGGGGAGCTTCTAGTGGAGTGCTGAACGACGGGTTTGTTAATATTTGAACTCAACAGCTTAACAATCTCACTCCAAAAGTTCTTACTGAAGCTTCAAATATGTATTTGTAGCCAGCTTCCAAAGATATGTGACACATACACTTTATGGTGCAACCAAGACTAAAAGGTATTTATTGGGAAAAACCTGTAAATGTTTACGATTTATGTTTTATAAAACAGAGACTGTTGGGTTTGATAAAGACTGAAATCTAAATTCTTAGCCTGAAACCTGACTTTACAGTAAGCTTACCTTCCCTCTGGGAAATATCTGCTGCACAGGTGTATTCAGTGGATCCAATGATGGAATTGAATTGGATTTTCATACTGAGAAGTACTGACAGCGTGAAAGGGATGCTGCAGAGCTAGCCTTAGGCAACATGAGAAGATGGCATCGTACAGTGTGGGGAATACAGTCACTTCGGCGCAGGAAGCTGCTGGCACATGCTCACTCTGACCCCTGACCCTTTCTGAAGCAGAATGTAATCACTACCGACATTTCCAGTACTCGCTGTGCCACTGCGTCGCTTTCTCTCCTACCAGCTCTAAGCTGCTGCCCATCATCAGTCATCCTAGAGCAGCACCAGCAGCAGATTACTCCTGCAGAGCCCTCCAGTCAGTCCAGCTCAGCTGCCTATTTGCCTAACAATACGTATAAAGGGGATTCAAAAACCAACACGACAGCTCCAGCATGATTTGAGCTTTTGCTCATTTATTTTGAAAATAATCTTTTATTTTCTCTACATTCATGAAATGAAGCCTGAACCTGCATGTATAATTCAAATATATTAATATGAGCCTTTGAAAACCCATCAGCACATAATTTCAAATTACCATTAAAAAGTCATGTAGAGGCTGTAGAGAAATCAACCCCCAACAAATTGAAGTGTAACTGTTTTAAGGATATTATATGAAAGAATTCCACATTACATTTTCTAAAAACAACAAGAATATGTTATAGATTCTGTTGACTTGTGTACAGTTGGCTGCTTTTTACGTTCCACTGTCGTTCAAGTCATTATCTCATCTCTGAACATACTTAGTCATTATAGGTAGATTTTCATCAGTAATGGTGAAGACAACTCTCACGATCGCCCCTTTAAAAAGCTGAAATTCTGGTTTTGGTTAACCTAAGTGTTATTCCTTATTTCACTGTATGTAAACCTCTAAAAGACTTATTTCTTTGACTTTCAACCAGCGTCTCCCTCTCTTTTGTCACGGCTTCTGACACATTACAATACAGTTCTGTTCAATCTGTGAAAGGTTGAATAAAATAAATCTAATCATTACATGGTAGTTGATGGTTGTAATATACTAAAAACAGCAGAGGTTAGTGTAAACAACT